ACTGTAAATGTCAATGGTCTAAATGCTCCAATCAAAAGACACAGAGTGGCAGACTGGATAATAAAACAAGAACCTATAATATGCTGCATACAAGAGACTCACTTTAGGGAGAAGGACACACAGATTGAGAGAGAGGATGGAAAAAGATATTCCATGCAAATGGAAATGACAAGAAAGCAGGAGTAGCAATATTGATTTCAGACAAAATAGGCTTTAAAACAAAGGCCATACAGAAAGATAAAGAAGGACACGACATAATGATTAAAGGATGAAGATATTACAACTCATTAACATACATGCACCCAATGTAAGAGCACCTAAATACAAAAAGCAAATGCTAACAAATATAAAGGGAGAAATTGGTGGGAACACAATCATAGTAGGAGACGTTAACACCCAAGCACCTCTATTAAAAAAAATTAATAAATAAACATAACAGTCCCTCCCCCACAAAAAATCCACAAAAAATTTTAAAGTTGTGCAAAATCAGTAAGACAGCTCAAAAAAATAAGAAGAAGAAATTAAAATAAAGTTTGGACCCCAGGAAATTACAATATCACAAGGTAGGTGCCACATTTTGGAGATGTAGTTCAAAGCAGTGGGAGCAGGCAGATTCTCTCCCAGTAACCAATGGGATACAACATACCTAAAATGCCACCACGCTGACAGCAGTAGTTCGCGGATCACTGGGTCCTCACAATTACAACAGCCTGCAATCTCAAGCAAATTATCAACTTGGAGTTACAGAGAGATCAGAGAACAAAAGACTGGAAGGAAGCAACTGAAAGGACTTAAAAAAGGAAAGGCTAAATTTCCTCCCCTGCCCCTTCCAACTTAAATTCTGGTCAAGGAGTCTAGGTTTCTTGCTATTTAAAGGAAAATAAAATTCTATTATCTCATAGGCAAGTCCATTCTAACTAGGCAAAGCAAAAGTTAGGATAAATTATAAAGATCTTTTATTAAACCTCAGACATCATTTCATTAAAATTTACCCTGAGCGGGAGGGTACAGTGGTAGAGCATGTGCTTAGCACGCATGAGGTCCTGGGTTCAATCCTTAGTACCTCCATTAAAATAAATCTTGAAAACCTAATTATCTCCCCCAACCATGAGAACTTAAAAAAATAAAATAAAATTTATCCTGAAATACTAGCTATGAAAAAAAACAAAAAACAAAAAACTGCTCTGCCTGGGAAGCTGATGCCCTGTTCAAGACTCAGTTCCTCTCCAGAATCTATGCTGGGTGGACTCAACCACTATGAGATGTGGGTCAACTTGTTCAAGGCTCTGCCTTCCAGCCTGGCCTCCAGGACCAGAAGAAAAGGAGTTGGCCCTTGTAAAGCCCCACTGAACATGGCCACATGCTTAAGGCAATCAATCCCCAGTCCCAAGACGTCTTCTCCCTAATCACAGGCAAGGCAGGCCTCTCCCCACACTCAGTGGCACAGTCCAGAGTAAGATGCCGCCTTCTTCTCCCTTGTCCAATCCACCATCACGTCCTCTTGGCTCTCCCTCCAGAAGACGGCACCATTCAGATTTTTCACTATTTCCCCCCCAAAATTAGTCTTCATTTATTATTGCTTGCTTGCTTTTGTACGTCTTCAGATGTACATCTACTAAATTTCTTTGATCTTTCACTGTGGTATCTCAGTTCCTACCATTTTCGATTCCCTGCTTTTTGAAAAAACTTCTTTGGTCCTCTTTCATTGAGGCTCTGTCTTTCCCTAAATTATGCACAAAGAAATATTCTACACACTGTTGCCCTGAGCCTCAAACACTCAAAAGGCTGAACTTCTCTTTTTACTAATTCTTTTCTTGTTGTTTGGGGGAGAGGAAATTAGGCTTATTTATTTTAATGGAGGTACTCAGTATTGAACCCAGGAATTCCTGCATGCTAAGCAGGCATTCTGCCACTGAGCTAGCTATACCCTCCCCACCTCCTTTTTTTTTTAAACAAATCTTAAGTCAATGCAGCCATCTCTCATTCTTTCCTGAAATTAATCTTTGAAATTGAATGCCCTAAAATATTCATTGATACCGATAAGGTTCTAGCCTTAACATGTAAACGCCACACCTAAAATGAAAATGTTATTATTAAATAAAGAAGAGCAGCAGCCAGTTCAACTTTGTTAAGTGCACACATGCAACTTTATATGACTTAAGGGAAGTATTTGAAAGTTAAATGTTGAATTTTTGGTAATGATGCAAGACTGAACATATCCATCTAATTGTGCTTGTTCCTGAATTGCCACTATAACTAAGAGAGGTTTTTTTTTTAAACAATCTTAAAATCTGAGGAATCTCAAGAGATATTTATCACAGTTTGTTCCATGAGAAACTGGAACACATTTTAATGAGTACACACTTAAAATTAAACCCACTACACGGTTTATATAAATTACATTTTCATGAAAAATAATCATCAAAACAAAAACTTGAAAGAAGTCTGGCATTTTTACATTTTTGCAGATCTCTTTAATGTCTGGCTTTATAGGGGACAGCTGAATTCTCATATTTACTTGTGCCTTCTGTTCTTGAGCTATGTTGTCTTCAAGTATGTCAAGAAAATTTGATCTCACATTGCAGACGTAGCTTTTTATGTGACCAAAGAGTGTGTTCACAGCCTTTTCAGATAATCATGCATTCTACTTCTTCCATACTATGCCAACAGTTGACAAGCTGTTGTCTCCTAAAGATTAGTCACAATGTAGAAGCTGAAAGAAGGAAACTTTTGCACTGCTTTATTGAAACCCACTGGTCTACCTGAAATTGAGTGGATCTCTGATCACTTTACACTGGTCATCAGAAATATTGGCTCACTAAATTATGCAGATCTTCCAAATATCAACATTTAGGACACGTCAGAAGTACATTCATTAATATTATCACTGAGCCGATCAGAGGTCCAGGCAGTGGGATGCTGTCAAACTCAGGGTCTCCAATACGAAGTTCCTAAAATCCTCATTTTTCTTGGAGAGTTCAAATTTTATCGACAACGAATATTCTTTTTCTCCTTGAAATATAAGGATGATGTAGTTTGAGACAAACGTGTCAGTGATTCAAGTAAAACTGATGTTCCGCAGGACTAGTTCAGTTTATGAGTCAAACAATTACATGTGCTTCTTCTCACTGAGGGTCACACCACTGCTTCTGCATCCCTCTGGTTCAAAGTCTTTTGCAATGCACACAGCAGTTCCCTCAGTAACTTGCTATTCCATCGCTTAGGATATTTAAAAGATGGGTTAAATTGAGAAACCCCCATAGTAAGGAACACAATGACCAATATAACGACCACTAGTAAGCTTGGAACCATTGCTTTGCTCTGAGTGGCGCTATGGCACCAGTTTTACCGAATCCCGTTTTTCTAACCGAATCCTCTCATTTAAACCATCAAATACTCAGGGTGAGCATAGCTGCTTTCCCCATGGAAACACGGTGCTTAATATTTGAAAAGCCCCATCTTCTGAAGTCTTCAGAATGTATTTTTTAAATCTGTGATAAAATACACGTTAAGAGTTACCATCTTATGGATAGAAGCACACGGTTCAGTAGTGTTGAGAATAGTCACAAGAGCAAAACGCAAACTCTACACTCATTGAACAACTCCCTGTTTCTCCCTAACCCCCGAGATGTTTCTAAATGAACAGGAACTATGTGTGCAGCATTAAGACCAAGACAATTTCTACTTCTAGTAGTCATACAGTAAAACCCAGAGACATCTGAAGAGTTATACTTTGCCTTCTTTACTTTCTTGCAGTTTCCTAAACCTAGTGAAATTGCTGTTCTTCTGAATGCACCCTGGAAATACTTACTTGTGACAGCTTAATTAATGGCTCTCCTTTTAAAAACAGCTTTCTAAAATGTGCCCTGTTGTCAAGGGTAGGAAATCAAACACAAATCAAACCATTTCAAATATATTTTTTAAAAATAAATGTTTATTTCAAGTATGAAATGTAATGTTTAAACATTATGCAAAAGTTGTGTTCAGTTTAACAAGTATAAAACAAGACCTCTGACAAAAAGTTTACAATTTGGTACAAAGTACTTAAGAATATACTTTGACAACATTCACAGCATTTTTGAAAAATAAGTTTTGCTAACATGTTTTAGAAACAAAAATATATTTACAGTCCCAGCTGAAATAAACAAGTCCCTAACTGAGGAACAGGTCTCCTTTAGTTAGCATTTCAAAATAAGATAAAAATGCCTTTCAAGATAATGGTAAACTTGGTTTAAGAACGTCCAAATTCAATCCCTTATGGCTTCCTTGACCAACACCGTCTATTTCTTACGTCTGCTACCCACAAATAAGGTTCTCAAGCCAATTAAGTGATTTCAATGATATGCATAGCCTAAGTGGTAACCAAAATCTCTGAGAAATTTTATCATGGCAAGTGTATTTCCAGAAAAACATTCTGAGCTTAAAGTGACAGATTTTCTGGTGGCAATTATGGAACCATCCGAAGAACTGAGTCTCAGAATTACTCTAACGGGCTGCTACCAAGACTCCTGCTTCGCTTCTCCATGTACATCTTTTTGTAGGTCTGAAACATTGCTTTTGAGTCTTTTACTGGGTTTTGTAGTGTCTCAAATCTATCCGCACTGAAGCTTCGCTTGGCGAGTCTTGAATGAGCCAAAACATTATCATCTGAGGAAACAAAAATTTTATCCATTATTCTTAGAGTTGGTGACCAGTATACAAGCAGTCTAAATTGAGAGGAAAAGTGTGTTTTTGTCTTGGATAAACTAGGGCCAAGAGCTCAATGTGACAAGCTATGGCTCTCTACCTATAGAATTATGCATGACGCGCACAGGACATCTTGCCTCTCCTCTGCGGCCCGTTTTACTACCCTCCCCCCGTCTTCCCTGCCCAGGGCTGCTTGTGCCCCTCCTTTATCCTTGACCAATAAACCTCTTATCATTTGCCCATCATAAAGGTGACTTTCCTAACAGCCATCTAAACGAGCAATATAAAAAGCCAGTTCCAAAGAGTGAGTGCAAAGGGCCGCCTGCAAGTCCTCTGGGCTCGCTATGCATCAGGCTCAGAAACAGCCGTCCCTTCCTGCTTTAGGCCACCGCGGTGCTGCCGTTAGCCTCGCTGTCCCTTTGTTCTCAAGGGCCTGGCCAACTTTCCTCTTTCTGTGCATTCCTGGATGTGCCTCTTGATTTCAGAAGCTGTTCCAATTACAAATTCCCACTTTTTCATTTCTGCTCAAGCCACTCCTTTCTGGGTAAGTCTTGTTTTACCTCTTCCTGCCTGGGTGGGCCAAGTACTCTGTCCTCTTAATTCTGTTTCAATGTCTTCTGCGTCCGCGTTAGCTCTCCTTCCCGCGTCAGTAATGCTGATGCCTGAGGTCGGGCTCTAAGTTGCTTCTCAGGGGCTTCTGTTCCTTCCTCTCCTCCCTCACCCTGACCGACAGTTCCACAACTTGCTCCATCTACACTCCAACCTCTGCCAAACGCAGGGTCTACTCATCTGAAATGCATTTCTCACAGCTGGTTGGGAGCTTGCGACATCTGTTTTTGTCTCACTCCACGCTGGTTCTGTCTCCAGCCTCTCCGTCCAGGATGTTTTGTCTTTCACGCTTTCCCTGAGTCTCCTTAGTTTTTGTTTTTGTTTTTGTTTTTGTTTTAATTGAAGTACAGTCAGTTACAATGTGTCAGTTTCTGGTGCACAGCACCATGTCCCGGTCATGCGTACACAGATTTGTTTTCATATTCTTTTTCATTAAGGTTATTTGCAAGATACTGGATATAGTTCCCTGTGCTATACACAAGAAATTGCTTTAAAATCTGTTCTTATGTATAGTGGCTAACATTTGCAAACCTCAGACTCCTGACATCTGACGGAGCTCCGCGCCTTGTTTCTTGGCTGGTCTCTCTCCCTGGTGCCGCTCTGTGTCTGGGCCCTGGCTGGTGCCTTTTTCACTGTGATCCTGAATTCTGACGTCCCACCCGGACTATTTCCTCATCCTGTTTGCAGCCGCCTTTATGTCCGTCGTTTAGCTCACGCATCTCCCTGAGCCTCCCGGCAATCTGCGCGGATGTCTGTCTTCTGAGTATTTTCTGATTCACACCCCAGTAATGCCTCTTTATCTCTGAGGTAATGCTTATGTCTCTCTCCCACCTCCAAGGACCATTTTGCCCCAATCCTGCACACCCATTTCCACCTTTCTCATTTTTGACTTCCTGTGTTCCACTTTAGAAGCGTTTTCTGCTCTCACTAATTCATTTCCCCATCTTTTGGTCGTCTTCCTGTTCTAATTAATAGCGCATTTCTTCCTTCTTGATTCTGATTCAGCTGAGCTTTTTCCCCTACATGCATCTTCAGGCTGCAAGACAATTCTACACGCCTGCTTAAGTACATTTATTTGTTTTAAGCTCTTCTCCCTCATCCTTTTTCACACTTCTTGTTTAAAATGTGCTTTATTGTTGCTCATGGTGAAGTTCTGCTTCTTTCTGTTTCTAAGAGACTCCATATAAACTCGTCTTTGTGTACATTCACTTAACCAGAATTGAAACAAAACTCCTGAACCCTAGCTTCTAATTCTCAATGCAAAACTCTAAATCAAAAATATATTTATTCCACTAATTAAATCAGATGCTGGAGGCTCTGGTTGGCTCTCAGGCCAAATCCCTCCCCAGCCAACAAATAAATAAGTAAATAAACAATTAGGAGCAGCAGACTTTCACGATCAAAATGAAAGACCGGATTCAAGTCCCCGTTCAGCCACTGACTATGTAACTCCAGTCAAATGATCTAACCTCTCACTGATAAACAGAAACATCTCTGTCCACCTGGTTTTGAGAATTGAATTAACTTACCTATCATCCCATCTAGGGGTATGACCTGTAGTCCACACCCAGCCTCTTTCAAGTACTGGTAAAGTTTAATTTGAACATAGCCCACACTCATTCATTCATTCCTCTACAGCCATTTTCTCACTACAGTGTCAGAACTGAGTATTCGGGAGGGAACTTCTGATCTGCAAAACCAAGTATATACTGTCCACAGTCAACACAGGAAAAAGTATTGTGATGAGAATTACTTTTCTTGCTAAAAGGAAACATCACTGCTTCCCTCTCCACAGCATGACAGAAAAAAACAGAAGAATGTCTTCCTACCACTCACACATACACACCGAGTTATTTTTTAAAAGAATATGGATAAAAATTAAATCTCATGAAAGTTTCTTAATCAGCATTCAGCTTATATATGACAGAGCACCCAATAAATAAAATCAAAACGTAGATGATTTTACCTATTTCTTGGTTGGCTTCTGGCATCCTTTTCTCCTCAGTCACACATTTTAACCAGTCTTCTTTTGTACTTTTTATTCCTGAAACTATTTAAATATTCATTTCAGACCTCTAGATACTGCTAATCACCTATTTTAGTACTATAATGAAGGAAAATCATGTAAGCCTAAAATAGATTTTAGAAGACATTAGATACATTCACAGATAACTCTAGAAAGGGCCTGGAAAAATGCTTTCTCCCATATGAAGTGCCTGAGTATCTCACAATTTAAAAGCTTATCTTCACCATTCAATTATGTTTCTCCCAGACAGGCTGAACACCAACTCGCCCCAAGGTGTTTAAGAGCACACAAGATAGAGAATGTGTCTCGTGTTGGTCCACCCATTTCCAACATTTCTATCACACCCAGCCCCTCAGGGAGGGTCCAGTTAGAAGAACCAAGTGTCATCACCAATACCTTACAAAATGAACTTTATACTCTTATTTAATCATCTATCCTACCACCTTCCAAGAAAACGTGCCTGAAGGTAAGATTTCCACCCAAATCCTTTAGTTTCCCAGTCTGGGTTTCTCAACACAATGTTTTATATATGATATCCACAAACCCTAAATGTGTCCTTACTACCAGAAATAATTAGTTCTCTGCTCTCTCCTCCCACCCTGCACTACACTGAGGAGTCTATCATCCGGCTAACCAAAAGTCATGACTGCCCTTCTGGGTGTGGTAACAACATGGAACGGTACAGCTTCGTCCGTGTTCCCACCGTGTATTTCATGAGTGGACTAGACATCACCACTTCAGTGACAGCACAGTCATCACCTGCTTCAAAGATGACAGTGAGCTGGACCACTTCCATACGTATAAAAACAATCCTTACGTATTTCCTACTATTCAGACCAAAATTTCAAATTCAGAGGGCTTTCAAATTGCAAGCCCAAAGAACGGACAAAAGCAAGACTTGAAACAACGTATATGTAATGCTCTTCTAACTTAGAAGAATGTTTTTCACCTCTTGGCACAAAAGGAAATCTCTGTACTTGGCAGACTTTACAATTTGATACCCCTCTTATCACTAGTATGACTCTGGTATCATTTACAGTAAGGGAGAAATAAACTTAAAACATTGCCCAACGAACCATCAACTTACTGAGAAAACCGAATACTAAGAAAAGCAAAGAGCATTCAAGTTGGTCCTAGCTACTCAGATGGCAGGAGAGGTGCTCCCCCGCTTGCAGGACCTACAATGAAAATGTGTTACGACGTTGCAGACACCATCAAAAAAAATTAAACTGGACCTTGCACAGGGGCTTGCTCCTTCCTAGGACAAGGCTGCAGATCCTTTTGGTCTTCAACGGGGTTTGTATTCTTACTGAACAGTCCTTCTGGACATAACTTAAACTCCAGCATGCTCAGTTTCTCCGCAGCATCTTTCACAGGTACAAGGCTCTTAGGTCTACCTTCTGGTTTCTTCTCTTTATTAAGCTTCCTGGGTGAATTATCTAATTTTGTGAGACAAATGCGCTCACGTTCGGTGCATTTAAATGCAACTCTGTTCAGATACAGTTTCCTTTGATCCTTTGCCTGGGAGGACATCTGGCTGAATTCAACGTCACTATTTACATTGTTTAAATTCTTGTCTAATTTGGTTTTATCAATCCACATTTTATCAGGTTGTTTTCCACCAACCGTTCCTTTACTATTCCTTGAAACGTATGTTTTAGACTCCTTGGAATGATGGATTTTGAGGGTTTTGCCATGGCTGCTACAGATATTAAACGATTCTTTGGCGGTCTGAAGGCTGCTGTTTGATTTCTCACAACCTCCAGCTCGCACAGAAAGCTTACCGGGCCTCACGTACTGGGAGTCACACGTTGCGTTTTTTGCGTAATTCTTCTTTAATGCTTTGCTGCTAGTCCCTGCTTCTATAAGCTTCTGCCTTGATAAATACTCCTTCGGGGCCAGGACTCTATGAATTTTAGATGAGCTATCCTTGGAGCCTGGGGACGTAACGTTCGGTACCGTCTTTTCTTTAATCCTGGCTCTTTCACTGGGGGTGGAGAAGAGAGTACAGAATTTAAAGGAACCGCCTCCCACGTGTTTACCCTGCTCGGGTCTATCGTATTTCTTCCTCTTCATCTCCGAGTCAAGTACGTTCCCTTCATCCAGCTTCCTTTTTTCCAAAACTTTTTGTTTGGAGCCACCTGCTTTCAATTTTCTCTTTTCTGGGGACACTGATGGCACCAGGGAGCCATTTTTCATATGCAGATCTTTATTTTTACTTGTCAAAAAACCCATCTTTGGCTTTAACGGGTGTAGGCTTTGGGCCATGAGCTTCCTCTGCAGGCCCTCTTGAGAAAATTTTGTAATTTTGCTCGTGGAGTGAAACGTTATCTCATGAAATTGCAGTCTTTTTTTTCTTTTGTGACTCTGGAAGGAGGAATCTAGTTTCTTATCAGCTTTGGATAGAAGTGGACCAGACAACTCTTGTTCTGTCCTTAGGGAGCTGTTAGGTTTTGCTTTGGATTTATCTTCTACATTCTTGCCTTGCTCTGTTTCAGGAACATGCTTTTTCTCAACTGGGAAATTCATAGGAGTCTCTGGATTGTTACTTGGAGGCTTATTAAATAGCAACAGGGTCACATCTATCAGTTCTCTGTCCTTGTTTGTAACTGCTGGTCTCCAAGGGAGAACACGGCCCTTTCCCTTCTTCCTTGGAGGCTGGGTTCTCACTAGAACTACACTGGCACTGAGGAACTCCTTCGTAAACCATAGAGAGCCACCCCAGTGCACAACAACGCACATCATCTTTTTCTGAATCCACTGCTGCAGACTCGCAACTTTCTTCAACTGTACGTGCTTGTGGGTCACACTGCTTCCTGTCTTTTGGGACAGGCTTTTCTTCCTGAGGTTCTGTCAGTTGGTCGTCCTGCTCAGGAAATAATTCTTTCATTTGCTCCAAGTTCAATATCGTAATTTGGATTTGGTCTGTGGAGTCTTTGGAGTTACAACCGGTTTTGTCACAAGCTTGAGCTTTTGAGATCTGGTCTGTCGTTTGCTGGACAACAGAACCTTCATGCAAGTTCACAGGTTCAATACCGTAGGGAAACTCTTTCAAAAGTTCTGACAGCTGATCGTGCAGGTATAAGATGGGTGTCTTGTCACTGAGAATCTCGTTTCTTGTAGGATCCTGGTCAGTGTAAGTGCAGGACACATCACCTTCCTGAGGGCAACTGTCCTGCTGAACAGCAGCCGATGAACGCGTATCGTCAGCCATGCCTTCATTTTTAGCAACATGCTCCAAACTGCTTTCCTCCAGAATGCCACTCTTTGCTTCAACGTACTTCAAAGATGACGATTCTGAAGGTTGCAGTGACTGTGACTGGTCAGTTATCTTATGTGACACATCCGTGCACGGCACAATATCCTGAAAACCAAAGTCTTTATTTTCAGTGATGTTATCCAACTGTTCATTTTGTTGGCTACTATTCATCCCTTGGGGGTTGGGCAGAGAGGGCTTCTGTGGCTCAGCTTTGTTTAAAGGGGACAAACTGAATATCTTTGCTATTTGGGAATTGTAAGAGGTATCGCCTTCAAGAAGAGAACAAATATCGCCAATCTGTAATACATCGCTGCTCACAGCGTCGCTGTCCTTTGATACACACGAAGCTTGCTGGCCCCTCACAGGATACTGGGTATCTGGCTCTGATCTGTGCTGCTTCCCTTGACTGGCATGAGCCGTGCCTTCTGAATTAGCATTCATTGGCTCATGCTTTTCCTTCTGCATCAGTGGGAAAACCGTGATGCTTGTAGTACTTGTTACTGGCTCATTAACAGTAAACTTCGAAGCAGTATCTTCTACCAACTTATTCTGTAAGCTACAGACACTGCCTTCTTCAATAACTGGATACACTGCTTCAGGTAAGGCTTCAGGTGTTGCACCTCTGACAGGCAGTGTTTTGACATCTGAAAGAATTAAGGGTGACACTACAGCAATTCCCTTCGTAGTCGCTGCACCTGAAGACTCATAATTCTGTGCCACCATCGACAGAATTGTTTCTTGTGAGCTGTTTACAATCTTATTCTGACAATTTCCAACAGCTGGAAATGGACTCTTCTCGCAGGTTTCCACAGGCTTTGAAATTCCAACTGCAGTTCTGTTCGCTTTTGACTCATTACATGGTTTTCCTTCTGTAAGTTCTGAAGGTTGCTTTTTCCACAAAGAAAGACATGTTGCTAGCAATTCCGTGGAAAAGTGATGGTCACTTTTAGAAGACAGTTCATTTAAGGATTTAAGCTCAATGCAAGAACTGTCTGAAATCTTGGCATTTATATTATATGTACTTGGAGTTTCCATGGTTTTCAAATTCAGTTGGTTACCAGTGTTTGGGGCATTTGGATTTATTTCAAAACTATGCAGCTTTGAATCTTGAATAGTTTCATTAGTATCTTTTAATAATGTCTTCAGAGTTTTATCTCCAGGTGCAAGTAAACTGAGAATTAGCCTATTTTTATTTGGATATTTTGAAGCATATTCCTCAAAAGACGTAGACTGAGGAAGAGAAGCTGTTTCAGAATTTGTTGGCCCATTTTGTGCAACGTTGACAAAATTTCCTGATGAAAACTGGGTGTTATTTAGTGTTGCCTGGGTAATTTCAACAGCTGATGTCTTTAAAGAACTCACAACTTTCAAATCATGTAACCCTTCTGGTATTGGCAACTTTTCCGAACAGGCAGAATTTAGTAAAACAGCACTGACTTGGTTAAAATTTCTGTCCTGAAGGTTGGAATTCAATGTACTGTGTATTCTATTTGTTTCTCCTGCAGATCCCATTACTGTTGCTGGTTTATTCTCTGCAGTCTCTGGAGTGACCAGGGTTACCTGTGTCCCAGGCTGGATTTTGACAGTTTGTTTCAGAGACAGCTCAGAATTTTGAGCCGATTCACCGTAAGAGGTATTCGTTGTTTTAATACAGCCTGCTGCCATCAAAAGATTTTTGTTAATTTTAATTTTCCTTGCAAGGTCTGAAAACTTCTTTTTTATTTCTACCAATGTTTTAATATCCCTCACTAACTTTTCTTTTGTGGCACTTGTGTCAAGTACTTGATTTGAAGTTAGATTTCGGGAATCCACTCTTTTCTCTTGATTATTTTGAGCAAGAGCCTGAACACCATCCACAGACGATCTAATAGGTTCATCAAAAGGCTGACTGACATTGCTATTTACTCTCAAGTTACAGGAATTTCCCATCATGCTGAAACTTTCGTTAACGTTTTGCCATTGCTGTTGAAAACCTCTATAAAATTCTTTCCTCATTTGAGGTAAGTGCACGTCTTGACTCTGAGGAACTTCCACAGAAGGGTGTTTAACAACGTGCTGAGTCCTCTGCAGAGGATGGCTTGTATACCGACAGTCATAAGGAGGTGGGGGTGGCCTTTTGTCAGTTTGAGTAACTGCGTATTGGTAGGACGGTACGGTTGCAGTCTGCTTTGACTGTAAAGTCAGTGCAGGATTTGGAGGGTGACTTTTTTTAACTTGTAGTGATACAGATGACATAGGGTTTTGTTCCTGAAAAGGAGGATCTTGCAAAAAGCTTCGTGGTGAATAGCTGTATTGCTTTGGAAGTGGCCTGTAATCTGGGTAAGGCAGTCCACTGGATGCACACTGCTGTGACCAGTCAACCTGCTGCTCTGGTAAAGGTGGGTTAAGTCTTGGGTTTCCTTGGTAAGTTACAGGAACTCTTCCAGAATTAGGAGGGATCATATGTATTTGCATAGAATAGGTATCTGATGTTACAAATTGATTCTGTAGTGCATGTACATTGGGCATGTTCGTTCCAAAACCAGTTTGATGAGATACAGTTGTCCCTGTATGAGAAAGCATAGAATTCCTCATCGGTGAGTTCAACCACACATCCTGTGTAACTCCTGAAGGCATTTGCAAATCATGATTTAGTTGTTTGGGTCCTTTAACATTGGCATATGTTATTCTCTCCACGGACGTCTGTGAGGTCACAATTGTCCCACCATGCGTATCAGAAATAGGCATTTGTTGAGATTTATAATTTCTGATGTTGAGCAGTGGCTGTGAAACTGGATTTGAATTACTGAGAAATGGGCATCCTTCTTGGTTACTTCCAGGATGGTTTAAAGAACTTTGAGACGTCATGCTAAGTGTGTTAACTAAAGCCTGCTCCAAAAAAGATGCCTGGTTTTTAGGATACTGTGGTGGTAAGGCGACACTCTCTGGTTTTGCATTCCAGTTCATCGTAGATTTGATGCAGTATCAGTGTTTTAAAAGCCAGTTGTTTTGAACGTCAGAAATCTGCAGGAAATAAAATAATCTTTTATTAAAAAGCTCTTTTGCCTGGATAGAATTTCAAAGAGAATTAGTTCACCTTATCACCAATGCTGAATATGGCTGGCTATCAAAATTCCTGAAGCCTCAGAGTAGACAAAGTCTCATCTTTAAATTGGGTAAGAAGAACAGCAAAGAAAGATGCAATAAATATGGCAAATGTCAATACAATTTCTGGGGTGTTTAAGGAATTCATTCTCACATTACAGGTAGTATTTTGTTTGCTGCACTTTTAAGTGGCAATTACTTACTGCTTCATTTATTTAACTAGCTTTTTTACTCTGAGTAACGCATGTTCACTGTTAAAAAAAAAAATCAAACATATACTAAAAAGTTCTTACTACTGACCATCCCCAATGTCTAACTCTCTAGAGGCATCTATTGTTCCTCTTCAGAAAACTTGTGTGTGTGAAAAATACTAACAGATAACTAAAACCTCATTTTTTAAGACAAATGGAATCTTACCAAACATGCTGCCCACAGTTTGCATAATTTCCTTACTACACTGAGGATATCATTTCAGTGCACAAACACCTATCTCAGTGTCTGTATACCGTTCCACTTTATAGTCATATCACCATTTAACCAGTCCTCTAGTGATGGGTATTTGGTTCTCAAAACGATCCTACACTGCACTTTCTTGTATTTATGCTTTTATAGGTGTGCTAAATGTTTCTGGAAATTCCTGCAAGTGAAATCAGTGTGTCAAAGGACATTACAATTATTTTCATGAGCAGTGACAAACTGCTTTCCAAAAAGACTGAAATAATTTACACTCTCACCAGCAGTACATTGACATTATCTACAAATGGACAATAATAATATAACCATAACATAGGACAGGAGAAAGACAGATTAAAATAACAAAATTAAACAAATTTGACCTACACATATTAATAGTACACCCAACAAATGCAAAATACACATTCTTTCCAAGTAGACCTGGAATTTTTACCAGCACTGACCATATGGCTAGGCCATAAGCAAACCTCATTTTTGAAGGATTAAAGTAACTCAGATTAATTCACAGTGGAATTAATATAGAAATCACAGGAAAAAAATAACTAGAAATTTGCCAGGTAAATAAAATGCAATGATCTCTGCTGTCTCTTCCTCTGATCGTAACACCTGTCCTACTGGGTTAAGCCCTTCCCTCACGGCTTTGCTTAACCATAATTAGCTCCCTAAAGGCCCCACCTCCAAACACAGTCACACTGGAGGTTAGAGCAGCAACATATGCATGGGGGGGGGGGACACTCGGAGACAAGCCAGGACAGATATTTACTGCATATAGAATTTGGGGGTGACAATTCTTTTCCTTAAAGCACTTTAAAAATGTGCCACTTCCTTCTGGCTTTTCTCCGTAACAGGCTTCTATCCAAATGTTCACATAAGACTTGAGGCTCATTTATAGCATTAAATAGACTCATTTAAAAAAAAGATGACTGGGAAACAATGTCTGCATTTATCCAAGTTAAGAATAACAAGTTAATCCAAGGAAAAGAAGTGAAGGAGTTAAATAAACAAAGTAATGAACAAAAATACAGAGATTCAACATGTCACAAGTTGGTGAAGAATGAAAATCAGTCAGCCTCTGACAACACTGATCATAAACACACACACACACACACACACAATATTGGGAAAAGAGGCTATCACTAAACCCTACAGACACTAAAATGATAATGTGTATTACTTTGAGTAACTATTTGGATACATTTAAAATTTAGGTGGAATGGAGAAATTCCTTGAGAAACACACTCAACCAATGCTAACATAGTAAAAATACTATACCTCTTCAAAGAAATTACACCAGTAGTTAAATATCTTTTCACAGGGAAAACACCAGGCCCATATGGGTTTACTGGAGTGTTCTACCATTTACGGAATAACCCAACATAACCTCTTTAAGGATAAAAGAGGGGATACTTCAGTTTATGTACTGAGGTTCTCATACCAAAAACTGTAAAGGACATTCAAGAAGCCAATCTCTTCTGGAAACAAATGCAAAAAAGTCCTAAATAATATGTGAGTAAACCCAATGGGGTGATAAATGGAAAGGATAACATCATGATAAAACTGAGTTTATCTTAGGAATAAAAGGTTTGTCATTTGAAAATTACTCAAAGTAATTACATTATAATTTCTTTAATTGTATGATCATTTCAATAGATAAGAATTTTTGATTAAATTCAATTAAAATTCACTAAAAGGACTTTTACTTTCTACTCTTGGTTTGGTATTAAGCCAAGAGTAGAAAATTTCCTTAATTTTGATAAATGGTAACTTCAAAAATTCAGACTAATAGTAAGAATAAAACAAAGATGCCACTACCATCCCCTTCTATTCATGGTTGCACTGGAGATCCTAGAAAGTGTAAGAACTGGGAAGGAAAATACAAATCTGGCTATTCATAGAGGTTATGCAGAAAATACACAATCTGTAGATCCTTTAGATCTATTAAGTTATGGGTCATAGTGCAGTCAACTAAGATTGTTACCATGTGTGTGACTTCTTGATGCGGTCCTTGTGGCTTTTAGATATATACATATATACACACATTTACTTACGTATTTGCTCATAAATAATACAATAGGAAGGAGCCTCTGAGGTCTGGTGTCAAGCATGAAACAACGTCTTGACAGGAAACTGACTCCATGACTCAGGTTTCACTTTTAGCCACTGCTGTACCTTGGCCAGGATGGACCCATGCGTGCTGGCAGGCAAAGGCAGACACTGTGGGGCTCTCCTACCAAGCTGACCTGCGATGACGCCTAAAGGGAGAAAGCTGGCACTGAAGATCTCTCTCTCCAAATACAGACATTTTGGGGATCTTCTGTCAAGCTGACCTGAGGTGACACAGTTGGCATTGGAAACTCTCCCCCTCCCAAACCGAACATCTGGTCTTGGAGATAATGTGTTCCACGGGCTATAAACATAGGTGAGCTGGACTGTCAGTTTGAGACAAGTCTTGCTGTAACTCCATCTCTTTGAGGATCCAGTTGCCAAGGCATCGGCCACCAGCCCCTGCCCAAGTGGACCATCTTCACCTCATTGTTTGCGACCCAGCAGTAATCCACACCTGCTCGGGTGCCTCCTGGAGGCTGGTCTCCTGGACCAGCTGGACTTTCCTACTATGGATGCACGGACTTGGTTCATTACAAGGAGTTTGGTCTCAAGGGGTTTAACTTTCATTCTGCATCCTTGCTGTCTGTTTCTCTGCTCGGTTCTTCTTGCTTACGTGAAAGTCAAAGTCACTGGTGAGCTCTAAGTCCTGACCTGCCATCTTATCAAAGCAGCAAAGAAACCACCCTCTCTGAGAGCTTTCATCTGTCAGGGAGCCAGATCACCCGTGGCTGGTCCAGCCTGACAGCACGCCCATTTCAGTTAAAAACCAGGTCCCAAGGAAAAGATCTGTATATTCCTTACGTCCCTTCTCCCAGGAAAGCTCCTTAATAAGACAACTGATCAGACAGAAGCATAACACAAAGTGAACAGCAGTACTACAAGAGTTAATGATGAATTTCCAGTAATTCCCCCTAATTCTTACGTGAGTTTGGGCATGAGTAGCTGTTACACAGACTGAAGTCTCTGTCCCCTGCAAAATTCACACTGAAGCCCTAACCTCCAGTGTGACTATATTTGGATAGAGGGCCTTTAAGGAGGCAATTAAGGTTAAATGAGGTCATCAGGGTGGGGCCTTGATCCAACAGCATTAGTGTCCCTGTAAGACACCAGTGTGCACACAGGAAAGGCCATGTGAGCTGACATGGAGAAGGTAGCTGTTGGCAAGGATAGACCTCGGGAGAAACCAAACACCTTGATCTAAGACTTCCAGACTCTAGAAATGGAAGAAATTGCTGTGGTTATTTCCCTAGGGCAGGCCTGGCAGACTCACACAGAGCCCATGGGTAGGAAGGAGATATGCTTTTTAGGAATAATTTGAGGGTTTTTTTCCCCTCTCCCTCTCCTGTGCTGGCACAGAAGAGAACTGAAGCCTAGAAAACCAACCTTGAACTATCTAAATTAAATGGAGGGAGTTAGAAGTTTTCTGAAGCTTTTCCTGACTACAGAGTCTCTACTTTTGTATACAATATATTCTCAGATTTTTCTGAAGAAATACTGTAATGGAGATTACCGCAGGCAGGGTTTCCATAGTCTATCATTTAAGCTTTTCTTGGAAAAATAAACTCCCTTGCCCCCAAATTCCAGCTTCCAGTATCTCTTATCTTCTCTATATTTTTTGTTTCTGTTCTATTACATGTCCTTTTTCTTTTTTTTTTTTCTTTTTGAAACACCTTTTCTGAAATTTTGGTGGAATCCTGGTAGAAGGGACATTAGATACTTGAATCTAACCCATCTTGTCAGCCTGGGAAAGGACACTGTGTGCTCACTTGCCTATGGAGCACCTTCCCACTGGGATGCAGGTTCCCCAACGGCAGGGATCCATTTCACTCATTTCTGACTTTCAACAACTGGACAGTGACTGGAACAAAATAAATGACTGACCTTGAATGAAGGACCTCCACCCTACCCTCTTATCACCCCTCACCTGCAACAGTCATGACACTTACCTGACAAACTCCAACTGTGGCTGAATTTCAGAATTTCCTTCTCTGCACAGGAGTGATGAACGTCTTCTGGGGGAATAAAATCACACAAGCCAATGAACTGAGTTTAATTTATTAACACATATATCAAACTCAAGTACCCAACAATTCTACCTCATTTTATTGAAAATTATATTTATATTAATTTTATTCTTCTATTCTCTGAGACCTCGTCTCTCTTCCCTGGTCCCCAGCCACTCTAACCCACACACATCGTCCCCCTACTCAGCTGCTTATATCTCAGAGAGGAAAGAAAGACACTGTCATCCTACGATCACCGAATCTATAAATAGTCTTGTAGATGTAACCTTCATTTGCAGCGCCAAAGCTGACACCCCTCCTATCAAATCTCTATGTTTAAAATCCTACTTCCCTTCCCTTTACTCCTAAGGATCAACCTGTCTCCACGGGGCTAAGTCAATTACATGTACGCAGGCACACCAATGCACGTCCTCCAGGACTGCTGGCACTCAGAGAAACACAACACAACCTCCCTGGGCCCCAGTCTTTAGCTCTCCACCCTCCACACCAGTGAGAATCTTTTAACTTGGTTAAAAATCACAAATACAACAAATCCTATTTTAAATGCTGAACACCTTTAAAGGTAGAAATAAAAATAATTTTTAAAAGTAACTTGTGCTTCCATAAAATGACTTAAAATATAGTGAAAAAATATTAAAAGCAAAAATGTCACATTAGAAAATATTCATTTAATGCAAAAGAGTGAGGAACAAAAAGACACGAGACAGAAGATAAATAATACAAATAGCACATGTCTCTCTATATCAGCAACATGAAAAGTGAGTCTGTTAAACAATCCAAATGATGGAATGTCGGGTGGTATTTTAAAAAGGTTAGCTAACTATATGCTGTCTCCAATAGGCACACCTTCGATCAAAGATAAAAACATACTGAAAATAAAAGGACAGAAAAAGATACTATGCAAATAGCAGCCACAAGAAAGGCAGAGTGACTGTACATTTTATAACCACAAAAGGGTTGGCCCACCAAGATATAACAATTATAAACATATATGCACTTAACAGAGCATTAAAATACAAGAAGCAAAACAGACAAGTGAAATAGGCAATTCACCAAGAGTCAAAGACTTCAATTCTCCACTTTCAATAATGAACAGAATTGGCAGGAAAAAAAAATCAACAAGGAAATAGGAGTTTTAAAGACATTATACACACCCACATTCATTTCCAGTGGAGGTAAAAAGGAAAACAAAACCACAGGAGCTCAGGCTGCAGGTTAGTGCATAACTGTCCACTGGTTTCCTTGTTTTTAAGGCTCTCTCCTCTCTAGCAGTTCCTCTGGATTGGATCCAAGAGTCCATGTACTCTCGTCAAGTGGCGAAAGGGTCAGCAAGCAGCCCAGAGACGGGCACAGGTGGCAGCAAACCAAAAAGCACCGGATGCGTGTATTCTGCCGTGGGGAGTTCTCCAAGGAACCTCCCTGCCATGAACAGCTACAGGTAAATCGGCAAACCCTAAGTGATGATCCTGACGCAGCTGGCACAGAGGTTAGCTCTGCTAACCCACCCACCTGGCTGTTATGGTTTGGGGAACAGGCAATACTAGTATGTTGATGCCGAGAAGCGGTGGTGGCCCTCGCCACGAGACAAGCACCCCTGATGTGTCAACTCTCATAAAGTGCTATGGCCCACCTGGGGGATTCAGAGTCACCATTCACACCCTCCTGTTCCACAGACAGCATCCATGGAGGCTTGTTGTGTGTCATCACAGAAGTCTTTTAAAATTTTTAATTAAAAAAAAAACAAAACCCTACATCCTGAAAACAAAGTCAGTTTTTAGGTTTGACAGTTTCATGATTTAAATCTTAATATTACTATTACTTCCTGTGAGAAAAGTGGAAAGACAGCAAGTCACTGAAATCCATGGCAGAGGAAGCTGTGAATGTCAAGTTTTGACCAGCAAAATCAAGACGAATTTCTGATGCGGGGAAAAAAAGGGAAGTGAGTGGCTGCAGTAGACTACAAATTTAACAATCTATGTGGATTTTCACATAAAATTTTCATGAAGACCTCACCAGCGTTAAGAAAAAGATGTGTGATTTTTTTTCACTTTAAAATATTCTGTATCCATACAATGCAGAGAACGTGGCTTAACTGAAAAATCATCAACCCAGCAGCTTCCTTTATTTGTAAGCCAGCCTTATTACAGAAAATTACAAAGAAAAAATGACCTAAAAAATCATACCTTTGAGGAATAATCATAGTCATTATCTTACACACAAATGCACAAGCACACACAACCAGCAACAGAAACTATGAAAATGGACTTATTATGTATTGGTTTGCCCAGGCTTGCTTTAGGTTCAATGAAATAGAAACAGAACACGAAAGAAAAAACTTGAGCCACATCAAGAATTATTTTATATACAAGAGTGACCATTAATTTATCAAAGAAACTGAAACATTATTGTAGTGTAAGATGATTCTATTAAAAGCCAAGATGACAAGCATAAAAAAGACTGTCTCAGGGCACCCAGAAGATGCACATCCAGACAACTGTCTAGCAGCCTTTGATAAAGGTTGGTCCAATGAACAAACATTATCTGTAATCGTTAAACACCAAGTTAAAGAGAAGTCCCTATTTAAACCTGTAGCTGGGAAGACGTCTCCACCTCTCCCTTCACATCGGTGTCAACCATCAACAGCACGATGTCACCTATAAGCACTTCAGTACCTCAAGAGTATAGGACCTTCTTTAAAAAAGTATGTAACTCGCCACATATCTGGAAAAAAAACACATATATCCATTCTGGTATTTTAAATCGGAACTTTCCATTATGGTTTCAGTTCCACTTCTAATGTGTTTATCTGGAGAGTCCACTGATGTAGTCAAATTGAGGAAAGCCAGTATTTTTCACTGAAAAACTGACTTGCAGTGGATCCACAAAACCACAGATACCAACACTTAAGTCTAAAACCCACTTCTGAGGAATCCCAGAAGTAGCGAGATTTACTCAATCTGTGCCAGCTCTGGCTTTTTGTGGCCTTAAGTCATAGGAGAAATTTGGCTTATCAGCCCTTAATTTAGGTTTTCAAGAATAGATTATCCTAAATTTTATAGTAACAGCTAACATTTGAGAACTGACTTTATGTCCAGAACTGTGCTGAATGCTTGAAACACATGATCACATTCAAGGGTCACAACAGTGAGCGCAGCCCAGCAGTCCTAAGCAGCTGAGAACCTCAGCTGCGGTCCCTTCACAGCCTGCAGACACGCCCCAAGGGGCGGGGAGGCTGGCAAGTCCGTGCGCACCTGCAACCAGGGAGGCGGAGGAGAAGCCGCCTCGGCGTTTCTCAGGAGGCTGCTTACCAACCTTCGTAGGGGCGCCCTGCCAAGGTGTGGGTCAGAGTGAGATGAAGGCCCTGTAAGAAGAGAAAGCTCATCAGAGTCCCATGGAGAAGCTGTTCACCCACATCTCTGCCCCCCAGTCTTTCATGTATCCAGCTCCAAAGCTGACTCAGAAGCACAGGCCACCGCAGTCAGATACCCTAATGATTACACTTCCTCTTAGGTAGCACTGGGTAACAGTGACCAGACAGTGACTCCTGGCAGGATGACCAGGCCAGACTCCATTATGTCCCACATGCCATCAAGGTTCACAGCTCTCAGAGCCACGTGGCTTTCTCCCTGGGAGAGCGGGGAAGTGGGAATAAATTGCTCTACCCCTTCTGACTGGTTAATCCAGGTACGCCTCAGGGTGCTGGCAACCACATATACACCCATCATGACTGGGCAGCAGGAAGTTCAGAGCGGCAACGGGACCATCGTTGGGGCTCGAAAGTTTACACCTAGTTTGCTGTGTCTTCACAGCAGAGGTCAGACAAATTTCAGACCACCTTTCCTCGTATTATTCCCTAAGTTGGAATGAGAGACCACAGAGCACACAGGAAGCAGGCAGTTACCCTACTTTGGTGTTCTGTCTAGGAACTCATTTCAGCGCCTCAGGGAAGCCCGACCCTTTAGAGGGGCAGTGGTCTCCAGCACCTCGAAATCCCTGCCAACTACCTCCAAGCGCACGGGATTAACGTTTGCTAGGCAGGTATCAGCTACGTGAGCTGCAGCGTTCTGGAGGCACAAACTGCATCAGGAGAGAAGTACCACTTACCACAATAGGACTGAGCCAATTCTATGCCTCTTGAGGTAGACAGACTCCTTGAATAGAACTGCACGGTTCCCCTAAAGCAGGCGGCAATGCTGCTGAGAAAGCCTGATAAAACCTGTTGCTCCCTGCTAATCACCCCCGTCGTTATAGGCACACTACATTGCTTACTCTGGTAGCCCCAGGTTCTGCTGACAAGATTCCAAGAACCTCAACAGCGGCATTTTTAACTGTCATGGGGTTCAGATTCAGATTTTACAAAACTGAAGGTTGAGGACTGATTCAAGACTTCAGGTACCAGAAGAGGCATAAGACAGAATCTCCCTTCTTGTCAGCAAGTTTAGGTAAAGCATGACAGATCCAGCAGGCAGTTAAATTCAGAGCCGTAACTATGGTCTAGAAAACACACCCAAGAGAGTTCTGCTTTCCCTTAATCAGGAAACCATGAGGAATCATGACTAATGGGATGAAGTATTCAGGCCTCAGCCCAAGGACACAGCTCCAAGGACATCCACTCCCAAAGTCAGCAGCTGTTCCCTCAACTGTCCTTAGATTCAGATCTTCCATCGGCCAGCAGCATCCCCTGGTGCAGATGGTGGCAAGAATCCGGGGTGAACTAGCTGAAAGGTTTCTGTGCGCCCCCTACCCCCATGATCAGCACTGTCTTCCTTCCCTAACAAGCAAAGGGGAGCCATTCAAGTTTTGCAGAATGAGAAAGAATGGCAACCACTGCTGTACACTGACCAGCCCCAGGCTCTAAGCCACCCAAGCCACGACACTTTGCCCAATGACATGAGCACGTAGAAGCAAAACGTGAAAGCGGGTAGGAACTGTGGCAGTGAATGTTTAGGGGCATAATGCAGCAGTGACCTACCAGAAACGAATTTCTGTCATCCAATAAACACCCTTCAACAACTTCTAACTAAAATAACAAGTAGCAAAACATTACATGCAGAAGCAGATAGGAGAATCCAACTATTTCCTACCAAGAAAGATACTAAAGAGCTTTGCAAAAACACAAAACAACACCACTCTTGTTACTATGGTTTTCTACTGTTTTGGACAACATTTACATTAATATGTAAGAATTTTTTGTTACTTTTCAATGAAATGATTTTTTAGAAGTGTCTCAGCTTTGGTTTCTAATGAAGGAAATACTGATATAACCTACATAAACAAACGTTCTTTGGGATCTTCAAGAATTTGTTACTGTGTTTATCAATGCCTCCAGAGACCATGTGCGCCTGCCGTGTCCAGCTGCAGAGGAAGCATGAAGCAGCTCTCCTGGAGCAGGACCTGGAAGCCTGCACTGACTTCTGTGGACTTTGCCTATGCATTATCTTTTTCCTCTTTCCATATTGCATCCTCTGCTGTCAAACTTTAGCCACGAGAATACAAAAATAGAGAAAATGAACAAAACTACAAGATGGGTCTTTGAAAAGATCAACAGAATTGATAAGTTTTTAGCTAGACTGATCAAGAAAAAAGGCTCAAAATGAAAAAATTCCTACAATCAGGAATAAGGGCATTATTACCAACCTTATATTAAAAAAAAAGTGATACCAGGGGGGAGGATATAGCTCAGTGGTAGAGCACATGCTTAGTGTGCACAGGTCCTGGGTTCAATCCCCAGTACCTCCTCTAAAAATAAATAAGTAAACCTAATTACCTCCCCCTTCAAGAAGTAAGTAAAATAAATTTTAAAATTTTTAAAAATGAGATACTATTAACTGTATGCTAATATACTCGACCATTTGGATGAACAGGACAAACACCTGCGACAGTGTAATTTATAATAAGAAATGTATTATTTGGTCTTCATGCTCATTTCTGGCACCAGAACTCCTAAAACCCTCAGATTGTCAAGTAGTGAGTGATAAAGGTGTCTTTTGTTGCATCAGTGAGGTGACTTCTAGACAGCACCTAAGGATGGGGGCTAGGTGCCAGGAGGACCAACCAGACAATTAGAGGGTTCCCATCCCCTCCCCTCCAGCTTCCTCCCCCTACACAGCTCCAGGGAGGGGAGAGAAGCTGGAGGTCCACTCAGTCACCAATGGCCACTGATTTCATGAATCTTGACTGTAAAGAGGTCTCCATAAAAACCCAAAAAGGACAAGATCAGGGAGCTTCAGGGTTGGTGAACACAAGATCTGGAGAATGACACAGATGCTCCCACACCCTCTCCCACATACCTCATCACCCTACACATCCGGTCCATCTGGGTGCTAATTCCTATTGTTAAAAAAAAGAAAAAGGAAACAACAGGCCCCAGGTTGGAACCACTTGCCCCCAGGACAGCAAACCATGACTTAATTATAGTTTCAACATCTCCCAGGAATTAAATTTCTGGAATTTCCTGGTCAGCACTAGTGAGGTAACCTTGCCTGAAACAATACTTTCTTTTCTCTTGCTAATAACCTCCTTGTCCCGCCCCTGCTCCTAAAAGAGCCTTCCGTTTTGTGCAGCTCCTCGGGAGTTCCTATTTACTAGAGGCGATGCTGCCCCGATTCATGAAATGCTGAATAAAGCCCATTAGATTTTCAGTTTTTTATTCGGTTGAATACTGTGTAACAATACTCTTTTAACATCCTTTGCAATAAACCAGTAAGTAAAATGTTCCGGAGTTCTGTAAGCCACTCTAGCAAATTAATTGAAGAGGGGGGTCTTGGAAACCTCAAATCAGTCAATCAGAAGTACAGTAACAACCTGGGCTTGGGGCCTGGGAACCTCCAACCTGTAACCAGTCAGAAGCACAGGTGACCATGTGGGCCTGTGTGTCTGAGGTGCGGGGTGAGGCGACTTGTGGCGCTGAGCCCTCAGTGTGTGGAATCTGATACCATTTCCAGGTAGTGTCAGAATTCAGCTGAACTGCAAACACCCAACTAGTGTCCCCAGACAACTGCCTGTTGGTGATGTGAGGGGAACCCCCCCCTTTATATCCACTGGAATTGGGTGCAGAATTCCCAAATTGACCAAAACCAACTCAAGCCACATGGAATCTGAAGAAACCTATAAAGAAACTGAATTAGTAACCAAAAACAACCCTAAAAGAAATGGCTAGGTCCTGATGGCTTTCTGGTGATCCACACCAAAAATTTAAGGATGTAAAATCCGTTCTATAAAACCTTTCAAAACATAAAAGAGGAGGGAATACTTCCCAAATCAACTTGGAGGCCAATGTTACCTTAATGCCAAAATCAGAAAGAAAGAAAAAAAATCACAATAAAACTACAGACCAACCTGCTATGAATACAGATGCAAATATCCTCAACAAGATACTAGCAAACGAAACACAACAGCATATAAAAATAATTATATGCCATGACCAAGTGGGACTTTTCCCAGAAATGCAAGACTGTTTATACTGAATCGATGCCATATAACACATCAGTAGAATAAAGGACACAAACCACATGGTCATTGCAAGCAGATGTAGAAAAAGCATCTAATATGAGTGAAGTTAAATGCATCCTAAAATCCAGCACTCTTTCAGATAAAATTACTAAAATGACTAAAACTAGAAATTGAGGGGAATTTCCTCCAATTGACAAAAGGTATCTACAAAAAAACCCCCATAGCTTTAAAGACTGGACAGTCTCCCTCTGCAAGATCAGAAACCAGACAAGGATATCTGCCCCTGTCTATTCAACACTGTACTGGAGGTTCTAGCCATGGCAGCTGGCAAAAAGAAAAAAGGAATAAGGCATCCAGATTGGAAATGGATAAGTTAATCTATCTCTACTTGCAGATAACATTTTGTATACAGAAAATTTCAAGGAATCCACTAAAAAACTAATAGAACTAGATTGGTTAGGTTGCCCAATAAAAGCTGAATACACGAAACCCAAAAGTATATAGTAACAATCTAGAAAAGAAAACAATTCTGCTGACAGTAACAGCAAAAAGAATGGAACACTTGGGGATACATTTATCAAAAGGGAAAAACTTGCACTCTGAACATTATAAAACATTGCCAAAAGAAATTACAGACCTAAATAAATGGAAAAACATCCCACATTCACAGACTGGAAGATTTAATTCTCTCAAGGTGGCAATACTCCCCAAATTGATCTACAGATTCAGTATAACCCTTACCAAAGTCCAGATGTCTCCTTCACAGAAATTGAGAATCTGACACTAAAATTCATTTTGAAAAAGAGTATGAAGTTGGAGGACTCACACTTTCAATTTCAAAACTTACAAAACTACAGTAAACAAGACCATGTGGGACTGGCTTAGGATGAACACTGATCAATGGAGTAGAATCCAAAAATAAACCCTCACATATACAATCACTAGAGAGAAACCAGAATCCAGAATATTTTAAGAACTCTCACACCTTGATAATTTTTATAAAGACAACTCGAGTTTAAAGTCAACACGGTTTTGAATAGACACTTTCCCCAAAGATATAACAACAGCCAAGATGCACACAAAAAGATGCTCAACATCATTAATCACCAAAAGAAGGCAATTTAAGAAAAATCACAGGATACCACTTAATGCTCACCACGATAGCTTATCAAAAAGACAAGTGTTAGTAAGTATGTGGACAAAGTAACTCCTATGCATTGCTGTCGAGAATGTCTATGGTTCATCAAAAACAGTCAGTCTGGCAATTTCTGAAAAGGTCAAATATCGTTCTCACATGACACGACAGCAACTTCACTAGGTATACCTAAGAGAACCGAAAATGTATGTCCATGCTAACACTTGTACATGAATGAATGCTCATGACAGCATTATTCAGAGTAGCCACAAAAAGTGGAAACAATCCAAATGTCTGTTAACTGGTGAAAGGATAAACAAAATGTGGCCTATCCATACAAAGGGATTAGCACTTGGCGATAAAAGGAATAAAGTTCATATGTGCTTCAAGATGAATGAACCTTGAAAACATCACGCCAGGTGAGAGGAGTCACAAAAGACCACACATTATGATATTACAAGTAATGTTCAGAATTCACAAATCCAGAGGTAGAACTAGATGAATGGTTGCCTGCAGATGGGTGGTTTGGGGGAGAATGGAGAGCAACTGTTAATGAGTATGGAGATTCTTTTTAGGGGCCAGAAAATGTTCCACAGTGACTGTGGTAATGGTTTGTATACTCTGAACATTTGCAAAACCACTGTACACTGTAAATGGGTAAAGTGAATTATATAAAAGTGATATATGAATTACATCTGTAAACTGTAGTTTAACAAAACATTTCCCGGTTGTTAGCACACACTGGGGCACGTGATGCAAAGGGCATCAATGAATCTGATTACAGACTTCTGGGGGAGCAACCAGACAAAAGGAAGTTGACTGACTGTATACCTGGATGCTAGTGCCACCCAGTGAAGGGAGGTAGCCTGAGAATGAAGTCAATGCTGAAGACAGCAGAGCTCAAAGAGTGTCTCAAGTTTTTAACACTTTCTTTCAGATTCAGATGCTGGATCCAGCAAAACCTGAAAGTCAAGCTACATGAACTTTTAAGTTATGTGACCCAATGAATTCTCTTTGTGGGCTTAAAAAAATAATAATTTGCTTATAATTTCTGTCTCTTAAAACAATGGACAATATAACTTCTTATAACATACTCTGCAATTTCAACCACAAGTGAGTATTTTATTTACAAATGAAGTCTTGTAATTTAATACATCTCAAGAGAATCTTAGTGATTGTCATTAAATCTTTGCACTCATTATAACTATGAGCAAATGCCCCACTGGAGACATGTACCTCAACGGGCCAGCCTGTAACACTGCCCTTCAATTCACAAGCACTCTTCGGAATTAAGGAGAGACACTACATAGCTGCCTCCCAACAAAGCATCACTTCTTTTTTTCTTTTCTTTTTTTAAGGATGGGAAATATAGCTTTCTTTCTTTCTTTTTTTTTTTAGGAAAAGAGGTAACTAGGTTTATTTATTTACTTATTTTTTAAGTGGAGGTGCTGGGGATTGAACCCAGGACCTTGTACTCGCTAGGCAGGCACTCTACCACTGAGCTACCTCTTCCCCCCATTTTTAAAAATTGAAGTATTTGTTGATCTACAATATCCACTTCAGGTGAACGACACCGTGCTTTGTTTGGTACTTTTACAGGTTACACGCCATTAAAAGTTATTACAAGACAATGGCTACAATTCCATTGAAAGCATCACTTCTTTACAAGGCTTATTACAAAGTAAAATTTAACTTGCTTTACAGAGACAGGGTTGGTAAATTGTAGTCTCGTTATCTTAAATTCAATGTTTTCCAAGTTTATTCCAAACAAAGAATGACTTCATGGGGGGAGGAGGGGGTTGGTGAAGACCTGATTGAAAAAAAATTTTTCGTGGAATTTATCTTTATAAATACCCTTTTTAAACATCAAATTGGATCAATTCTTTAAACACGTGCCTTCCTTCCAAGACACTGATAATCCAAATGGGAAGAGATTCCTGTATATCACAGAATATGGAAAATAAGGTTTTTGGAAAAATCTGCCCTGGCTGGAAAATTTAATAGAGACATAGGTTCAAATTTGCCTGCAGGCAAAAACTAGAGTTGTGTCTTGTACTTCCTTACAAAAAACAGAAGCTACAACATGATCTACAGTGGAGGGTCTAGTCCGCACATAGTTGATGATTTAGAGCTTAAATGAGCAAACTGAATCTTCTATAAGACATAGTGTTAATTTACATAGGCCATAAAATATATTTCCTCTAACATGACAAAAGCTAAAGTTTACTGAGCACTTACCATATACCAGGAGCTCTTCCAAGTGTATCTATGAGGTTCATTAACTTATCACAATAATCCTCTGAAGTAGGTACTACTGTTACCCCCTTTTCACAGGTGAAACTGAGGCAGAGAAGTTAAATGACTTTCCCAAGGTTGCACAGATGGCAAGTGAGAGCCAAGATCTGCCGCTCAGCAGTCAGATTGCAGGGACTATGGCCTTAATCACTGTTGAAGGTCTCCTAACATTACTTGGTGATTACAGGCCAGAAGCCCTGGAAAGAATCACTCTGGCTTTCTAGGTTGATATTTTATGGACTGGCTCTTCCAGACTTGTGCTCTGGGCTGCCTTTCCCCCATGTGCCAGAAATCATAAACTTAAAAAATAAACAAGCAGACCACGTAGAGAACACTTTTAAGTGGACCTCTTCCTCAGTTACTTAAGACCAGTTATCTCACCATAATCTCCTATTCCTTATCTTGCAAAGATAAACTGATTTCTCCATGATATGCCAACCATACAGTTTTTCCTAAAGCTTTGTCACCAAATCCATTGTCCTATAGTTTAATATTCAACCAATACTGATTCAAATTAATAATTTTATTCCATAACATAAATTAGAGTAGACTACTTCGAGATGACACACTTACCTTTAAATATGTTTTTCTTTCATTACTGTATATGTCCCCATTTCCCTCCCAACACCTCAGGTCCGCTCCATACAGTGTTTACGTCTTTGGTCCTACCGACAGCAATAAACATTTTATAATTAACAGTAATTTAATGTAAAATGTATAATTATATTTTTATTTATATGAAATTCATATTAAAGTCATAATTAGAATACATACTAATCTGATTACTTGATGTGGCAACCATAAGGAACAAATCTGTGTTCCTTAAGGTTGCACCAAAAGCACACTAAGTTTACAGAATTCTTATTAAGACCGCAAAGTAACAAACTGCGTCTGCCTTAAAATACCATTCATTCACTTTTTAAGTGAGAATTCATGTGCGCTTCTCCTGGACCACTGTTAACCTAACAGCAGCTTAACTTACCAATTTTCTTTACTGGATCAGTAAAAGATAATCCGATTGTTTACAGGAAAAAAAAAAGCCAGTAAAATCTTAAGGGATTCATGCACGTTAACGCTGAATAAAACTTATATATGATTCACAGCTAACACAATCATCAGAAAAATCCCCAAACAAGCTCTGCCGACCTGCCTATTAAAATGCACCCACCAAGTTCATTCTCATCACCTGCTGTTCTCTTTATTTTGACGGTACAGGTACTGAAAGTATTACAAACAAAACGTTTTCACTGAAACGATTCCACGAAAGCTTGTGGCTTAACTCAGGACCCTGCTTAGAGAATTCGCGTCCCTCGGGAACACCTAAAACCGGTAGGCATTCGTGCACTTAAAAATGCCTCCAGGAACTAACTATTGCTGAGGATCAGAAAGCGTGTCCGACACAAGCGTGTTGGCGGGCCACCTGGAGATGCAAGGGGAGCAACACTGCTCCGGGAGGTTCAGCATAATGGGGGCGGGGAGGAAGGGAACACTTGAGAAACAAATGCAAAACAAAGATTTTCTTTCCACGCCAGCGACAGGAAGCAATTAAAACACAGGCTAGTCTGACACTCGCCAGCCCAACCAACCGCCTTAGAGTTTAGCAAAAC